CTTCCTCAAGCAGCAACAGTGTTGCATCAGTCAACAACAATCATGGGAGAAAGCCCCCTTCAGAATATTGTCATTGCGGCGGGGAACATTGGAACAATAAATGCCCAAATACCCAGATCAATGCTCAACAGACTGTTGAAGATGAGTCAGATCATGACGGCTCAGACGGTGCAGAGCAAGTAGGTGCCTTCAACGCATTTGTTGGCTCCATTCCTGATGCCTTAGCGGGAACCAGTGCTGGTAACCCTAAGAAGAACGCATGCCCAATCGCCAAGAAAGGGAAAGAAAAGGCGGATGAGAGACCTCCCACCACAAAAGAGAGGACCTTAATGTTCGTTGACATGAAAGTAAATGGTAGACCCATTCGAGCAATGATAGACACAAGTGCTACCCATAACTACTTAGCTTCAACTCAGGTGGGACGCCTCGGTCTAGTAGTGCAAAAGAGTAGGGGTCGTGTCAAGGCTATCAACTCACCACCCCAGCCAGTGAGTGGAATAGCCAAAGAAGTGCCAATGAAGCTTGGCCTATACAAGGGAAGATTCAACCTACGCATAGCTATCATCGATGACTTCGAACTGATAGTGGGATTGGAATTCCTAAGGCAGACCAACACCATACCGGTACCATATACCGACATGCTCCTGATGATGGGAGACAATGAGGCCAAACCTCGCATCATACCATGCATACCCATAAAGATGGCCGCTGAAAACATCTCGGCCATGCAAGCAAAGAAGGGAGTCAAATTACAAGAACCTATGGTTCCGGCTACCCTCAACATCAAGAATCAACAACCATATCATCGGTGCCAACTAACTCATGGTGCCCCTCAGTGTGTGAAAACTTGTCAAGCATCCAAAAGGACAAGTCAGATCGCTCAGCACAAGCGGGACTCTTAGAGTCGCTATCTGTCCCACAGAGACCTTGGGAAAGCATTTCCCTGAATTTCATCACAAGATTACCCAAGGTCGAAAATCTTGCAACCATCTTGGTGGTAGTAGACCGATTTTCCAAGTATGATACATTCATAGCAGCCCCACAGAACATATCGGCAGAAGATATAGCTCGAATCTTCTTCTCTCATATTGTCAAATTGGGGCATGCCCAAAGACATCATTAGTGACTGCGACTCACACTTTACTAGCAAATTTTGGACCCATCTCTTCAGGTGCCTCGGATCCAAATTGAGTCATAACTCAAACTTCCATCAACAAGCAAATGGCCAGACAGACCGGTTCAATGACATGCTGGAGGAATAGCTCCGCCAATTTGCAACCGGATCACAAACGAATTAGGTGAAGCTTCTTGATGTTGCTCAGTTGTGTTTCAATTCACAAAAGTGCGCCCTTACAAACAAAAGCACTTTTGAAATTGTTACCGGACAGTAACCGCTACTCCCACAGACTGTGAGTGCACCAAACATGCCAACATCGTCTCGAGCTGCCAGTTTCTCAAAAGAATGGGAGCAAACTTTAGAGATAGTGCGGAGCTATCTTGTCAAAGCCCAAGAGAGGGTAACGAGGTATGCTGAACAAAACCTTCGCTTTGTCCAACATCAAGAAGGAGACTTAGTGATGGTAAGAACCCCGAGGCAGAACTTGTTTGCATAGAGGTCTCATGACCCTCGCCTATTGCAAAGACACATCGGACCCTTGTTCATTGAAAGACGTATTGGGAAATCCACATACCAGCTGAACACACCAGCCTGGTGGAAAATCCACCCAGTCTTCCATGCCAGCCGCCTCAGAACATTTCAGAAATACATGGAACATCATTCAGAAAGCCACCTCACAAGACCGAGAGGAACAGACCTCCCAGCCAACAAGAGCCTGACCAATCATCATCCTACAGGTAAGGCTCCGAGGGCGTCGCCAACTCAGGTGAGGGAGAATGTCATGGGCTGCTTTCCATCATCGACCCATGACCCCTTGGACGTGTCCTGTGGTGTCCTGGCAAGCCTCCTAACGCCTAGCGCCATGGTCGGCCTCGTGGTCTCGGCAGCGCCAAGTGACAAGCACGCATGTGCCTCTGTCGCCCCACCGATCATCCTAGCCAGCGCCCAGCGGCTGGCGAATGCCAATAATGCCGGGCGCACAGACAATGCCGCGCGCACAGACCATCATGTTGCCAACAGTGTTGCGCGCACACACAATGTCGCGCGCCCAGATCCTATGCCAAGCGTCAGCGTCCAGCCGCAGGCTGATCCAAATAGTGTCGCGCGCGCCGGCAGCAATGCGCGCACAGACCCTGATGCTCAAGACAAAGTTGCTGCCATCGGACTTGCTTCTACCTTGTAGAAGACTAAGTCATTTTCATTGTAATTATAGATTAGTTTTACATCATTTTCTTTTAGTGTGCCTCTACAGCTTTCATAGGTCAACTTATGTAACTTTGGTTTATTTTTTTTTAAGCATTATTAAGGGGGACCAAAGCATTCAAACATTCAAGCAAGCAATTTCTCTGTACTGGTGTCTCTACCCTCCCCCTCCCCCCTCGACACCGCATAGCATTTTGTAATAGCTTTCATCATCATCAATACAATCAGCTTTCATCATCAATTACTCGTTTCCGCTCGTTCAATTGCTCACGCTATTGATTATTTCGTACGGCACTGACATTCTAGTCTAGCGTACGGAGGAGGTCTCAGTTGGCGGACAGCAACCGCACTGACATCGGTTGCTTAGCCTTACGTCGCCCTTCCAAGGAACTTCAGGAAGGCGCCACGTAACATAACTAGTGTATTTTATGTAGGTTTGATCCTCATAAGCCAGTTATTGAAGGTATTGGTACTTGCATTCGTAGTAAATTTGAGCTAGCTAAACCTTCTTGGAAGAAGTTTCCACAATCTATTCGCGATATGTGGTTTGAGAAATTCAAGGTGATGAAATTTATAATCTGGTTCATATTCAAATATTGTAGGTGTGAGATTGTATGGCTAATGAAATTTTTATTTGATACATGCAGAAGAAATTCAGATGGCTCCCTCACTATAATGAAGCTATACGGGGCAATTTTGAGAAAAGAGCAGCTGCAAAAATCACCCAACTTTTTCAAGATATTAGAAAACACTTGCCTTTGAAACCACATTGGATGGGGGATGATGTATTCAAGGAGATGAAGGAGTATTGAGAGTCTCCTGAATTTAAGTCAAAGTCCGAACAAAACAAAAAGAATCGCAATTCAAATGACGGCGCCTCAGTTCATACAAGTGGTTGTATACCTCATCTAGTGATTTGGAAGAGAATGGTAATATATAGATCTTTTTAAATTAATTTCTTCAAGAAAATAACATCATATTCAGTGTTGATAACATAGTATTTCCTTTATTTCCAGAAGGAAGCTACTGGAAAAGAACCTTCAATTGCGGAATTTTATTACCAGACTCATCGCACAAAAAAAGAAAAATGTTGGATAAATGAGAAAGCTGAAGCTGAAGCTGCTTATGTAAGTTTTCCTTCTATTCTTACATTTTGGTATACATACCATAAATCGGGTTGAAAAAAGTAAGTTGTTATCTCCTAAATGGAGAGCATAAATATCTATAGTTGACTGATCACAGGAAGTTGTTATCTTTGATCAAGATGCAAAGATGAACTTGAGTTGTTTGCTAATGTTTACAAAAATAAAATTATTAACTTTTTCATTATTGTTTGGTCTAACAATTTTACCTGGATATATCATTAATCCTGAAACACTTTTATTTTCACCAACCAATCTTTCCTTATACATCCTGCTAAAGAAAAGTGTCTTTAACTAAATAGTATAACCTCTTTTGCACTACACTTGGTCTAGCTTAATATGACAAGCAACTAAGGTGCCGTGTTTCCTAACTTTTATATATATCCTTGGTGTCACTTTTCTTAGATTTGCAGAAAATTTAAAACTAAGTTTTACTTTATTTTCTGTGGTATAAAATTAAGGTATAAATATGGTTATAAATATCACAATAACATTAACTGAATGCAATTTACTAGAGCTAAGAGGTGGTCCAAGTGCTATGTACAGAGACAAATTGGTCACTCTTTACAATGGAAATCTGCAACCAGACCAAGGAGTTCAATAAAATAAAGTGATTCTAGTTTGTACGTTATTTCAGAAGTTTCATTCCTAACACATGCTGCTAGTTCTTAGTTCCTAAAAAGAATTACAAGTGGATACATACTGATGTGAATAGTCTAATGAGTAAGTGATAGGTCTCTTTATTGATTAAGATGCAAATTTGATTGAATTGGTAGAGAATTGATATAGATCTTTATTTTCATTATTGACTTACAATATGGGCAGCTATTTTTTTTTTTTTTTAGCTACATCTAACAAGTGAAGAAGTGAAGACCAACTGTTACTTTGCTGGATATTGTTTAAGTACTCAAAGCAGCTTTTACTTTTCGTTTTTGAGCTACATCTAACATGTGAAGACTAACTTTTACTTTGCTGCTCAAAGTAGCTTGCTGCCCTGAATATACTTTCTCATTTGCTATCATCTGCTAGGTGGCGCTATTATGGAAGTAAACAGTAAAAGAGAGTTTCTTTTTACTAATTTGTTATAGGAACTTGTTGGTCATCCTCTTTGTCTGCTATTATTTCTATTTCACTGTTGCAACATTCAATTATTTGCTTAATTTCAATTCAATTGTCAAAATGATCAGCCCTTCATATTAGATGTTAAAGTTCTTCTTTGAATGAGATTGTGGATTTGTTACAAGCTTCATAAAGACACATTTTTGGTACAAGATTCAGCTTATGTTCTTGACTCCTTGTATTTGAGCAGTTGGTTCACCATTTTTGGGCCCTTGTTATATAGTTTTTCTCCTAAGAACTTTACTTAATTCTTGTCCTTAGTATTTTTTTCTCCAAAGAACATCGTTGGAATTATATAATATCTCAAATAACTATCTTGGTGCAGAATAATTTTGAAGAAAAAAAAAGAAACAAGAATTTTGAGCTTCTCAAAGTGCATCAACTGAGCTAGGAGACACTAATTCAGCAAGCCAAGTAAAATGGATATTTGGGTGCAATCTGTTGGTGGAAAAAAAAAAGGAAGGGTTGCAGGCCTTGGCTCCGTAAAAGCACTTAAGCATTCAACATCTACTTTACCAGGAGAAATTGATGAGATGATTAAATCTCAGGTGCATGCTTCCAATGCTGACTTATATGCTGAATTGCAAGAAGAGCGGAGCAAAAATAAAAAGATCGGGAAGGAATTAGACTTATTGAAGAAGTATGTGAATTCCAATGCATCGTCTTCAAATGAGTTATCATCTCAGGAAGACAATCAAGGATCTGAGAATGAAAGTGACGATGACTCTAATAATGTGAATGAAAGTGGTTCTAACCCTGGAAACGTGAATGAAAGTGACTACAATTAGGATTGAGATGTTCATTAGACTATTAAGTTTCACATTTGCGATATTTTGCTTTTTGATTAAGGATTATATGTTATTAATATTAATATTATGAATTATGTTTTTTCGGTGAAAACATTATTAATATTAATTTTTGATTAAGGATTATATGTTATTAATATTAATGTTATAATTATATTAGACGTGTGTGGAATGATTATGATAATATAGTTGAATTGTAAGAATATAAGCAAGAATTAAACAAAAATAACATTTTAAAAATGTATAGATTACTTGCGAATTTTTATGGGAAAATATTTTGAAACGTGTCGATTTTATATGGGAATTTACCTGCAAAACAAATTACATGGGGATTTTCTAACCAATACTACATACGGATTTTCCTACGAAAATATTACTTAGGGATTTTTTGGGGGATTTCAAATAATTCTTTCGTTTCATTGGCAGTTTTACATGGTGATTTACCTGCGAATATTTATTACTTGGAATTTTTTCTTGCGAAAATGTGCTCCTGCGAATTTTACTTGGGGCTTTTCAAAAGAATTTTCCTGTGGAATATTTTCATAAATATTAACAAGAAAATCCCTTTCGTCCATAAATTTTCACCTCAAAATTTTCTATGGACTTACTTGAGGATAATCATGGGGAATTACCTGCGAATTTCTTCCTACAAACATTCCCAAGAAAAATCCTTTTGTTTACGAATTTTTTGATATGTTTCACTGATAAATCCGCAAGTAAGTTACATGGGGATACAAAAGCCCCGGATAATTTACCTGGGGATATTTTAATTCCCAAGTAAGAATTACCTACGAAAGTTTTTCTAACGGATTTATTTTGATAGGAAATTCCGCAGAAAAACAAGTTAACTGCGAATTTTGTTATATCATCCCTAGGAAAATCCCAAGTAATCCGCCTTTTTCTAGTAATGAGAATTCTTAAAACCTCCAAGGCATTGCCTCAAATGCTGAGCCAACTTGCATAACTTCCAAAATCACTTACTCCCTATTTTTACTAAACAAACAAAATTTGCTTTGTTTGCAGGAGTATATGGATTCTTTCTTTACAAAAGGTACGTGGAAGCAAAGAAGCAAAACATAGAACCATGCAAAGCATATACTATCCACCTGCCAATACCTATAGTATTTCCTCAGCCACGTACTTAACATGCAACCCCTTTTGTTCCCCTATAAATTCACACTTTCTCTATAGCATTAAAACCATCACATCTTCATTAAAATAAAAAAAGAATCATCCCTTCAACAATGGCTAAAGTAATGATCATTGGAGTTGTTTCTTTAGCCATACTTTTAATGGCAGTCACAGCTTCTAGCTTTCGTACCACAATTACCATAGCTGAAGATGCTGAAAACCCAAGGGACCAAATTTCCCAACGTTGCCAGCAACAAATCCAAAGGGCACAGCAGTTACGCTCTTGCGAACAGTATTTGAGACAAAGCACCAGATTCTCTGAGGAGGAAGAGGAATTTGACAACCAAGGCAGAGACTGGCGCCAAGAATTTCCTAGGTAATGTTGGAATATAAACTAGGCTCTTTATATATATTAACTCTGGGATATGTTTTAATAATTTATGTGGCAATATTTTTTTTATTCAGTTAAAAAAAAGAATGATAACTTTCGAATTTGAAATTTATGTGGCAAAATTTCTTTTAGTCAGTTAAAAGAAGTATGACAGTTTTGGAAAAATTTGGAAGCAAGTTAATTTACACCTCTATTTAATCTTAGTGAGAATTTTTTTAGCTATACGAGTACTTCTAAATTATTTTAGTTCTTTAAAAAGGAATGACAGCTTTCGAGATTTGAAAAGAAATTAATTTAAACTTTTCATTTTATTATTAATGAGAAGTTTTTTTAGCTATACAAATATTTCTAATTTGTTTTCCTTTTTTAAAAAGGAATGACAACTTTAGAAATTTGGAAACAAGTTAATTTAAACTTTCTATTTTAATCTTAATGAGAAATTTTTATAGCTNTTAAAACTTTTTAATACTCCGTACTAATTTAAATACTTTCACATATATATAGTGATTTAAATACATTCACATATATAAAGTGAAACAGATGGAATATAATATTATACGTTACTTCTAATATATTTTTATCTCATTTACGTGACACTATTATATTTGGATAGTCAAACAAATTATTTTTATATGATTTTTCAAAACTCTTTTTAAATATTTTGCAAATTGAGCAACAATATTCGAATTGACACAGAATATCTAATTCTCAAACTCCTAGTTATATACTGGAATGACTCAACTCGATAGAGAAATGAATTTTAGATTAAAATATTCTTTTAACCTTTAAGTTATTTACTGTTTTCAACATGTTCTAAACAGGTGCTGTGAGCAGCTGGAACAAATACAAGATGAGCAGTGCAGGTGTGAAGGAATAAGGCAGGTGGTGCAGCAGCAGCAACAGAGAGGAGAATTGCAATGCAGAGAAAGACAAGAAGTTTTCAGGACTGCTCAGACCCTTCCCGGTTTATGCCGTATTAGCCCTCAACGATGCGAAATCCCAACCCGCAGTCCCTTCTTCTAATTAAGAGGCTTTTGCTTTAGTTAGCTTCTTCTTGTTATAATAAATGAGTAATACTAGTAATGAATAAATCACCTTTTGGTGTGTTTTCTTCCAAGTAGTTTGGTGTAACTTTTTGTTTTTGAGTAATAATTATGTACTTATTATCTTTTCTCTCTAAGTTTGATGCAATGAATATAACCACCTTTGTTTCTTAGTTCAAACAACACTTTTCACTTTTCATTTCAAACTCCTTCCGGCTGAAAAATGAATAAAATGTAAAGTAAGTGTACGCCAATTAAGAAGGGTGTTTTACTTCTTTTTTTACGGTTGAATTTATAACGTGATTTATAGACATAGATATGTGGGTTAAATTAATTTATTAAAATAAAATAATAAAGTACAAACAAATTAAATAAGAATAATAGAAGAAAACAAATTAAATAAGATTAATTGAAGAAAAGACAAGTCTGAGCATTTCGACATTACTTGTATAAAGAGAAAAAATACTAGCCCTTTGCTATCAATATTTCTTGATGTCTTATAGAATGAGCATCTATTTATACTAGAGCTATGAGGTACTAATATTAATGATACAATAAATGGTAATTAAAAGGTGATAAAGAATAATAAAAGGTAATAAAGTTCAATAAAGATTAATAAAGTCGGGAGAAATTTTTTAATAAATGGTAATTAAAAGGTGATAAAGAATAATAAAAGATAATAAAGTTCAATAAAGATTAATAAAGATTAATAAAGTCGGGAGGAATTTTGGGGTCTTCTGTAACATTTTTATAACGGTAGTGGTATCTTGAATAAGAATAACGGTGGTGGTATCTTAAATTGCTTCTTATTGTATAACGGTGGTGGTATCTTGAATTGCTTCTTATTGGATCAGGTTTGTATTCGTTGTCACTATAGTTGAGTTACCAACCGGTCATCCTTGACTAAGTGTCGCTTCCTAAGACACCTGAGATCGATTTTTATAATATTACAATATTTAAGTAGAAAGCGTGTTTGGGATAGTATAATAATGTAACAGAAATGTGAACTCGAATAATATTTTTAGTCTAAAAAAATTAAATAAAAAGAAATAAATTAAAATGTATGTTCTATATATATTCTTATTTTTATCGTAAGATGGATGTCATTCACTTTTATCAAATAGAAAAGTAATCTGGTGCCATTTTAAACGATATAAAAAATTTAAGGAGTCTAACTCATGATTACAACATTTTCTTCTAGTGCAACATATGTTATCGAATTTTAAGCAAATCGTAATACGCTAATAAATCAAAAGTGAGTAAGCAAAATTACCCAAAAAAAAGTAGAACTAATGTGAGTGTTTAACTGATGAATCGTGCAAAATCTAAAAGGCTATATAGGTAGTTACCTTCTAATTTAATATTAGTAGCTAGTAAGTTCATCGAACTACAAACAATCACGTAAGTTCGAAGGCATAAATAATTCATTTTATATGTAGTTCCGACGCAATGATTATGTCGTTTGATACCATATGTATAAACGACAAGGCATATATAAGCAACGGTGCCAAACGTAAAATATACGAAGGAATAATGTTGTATGAAGGAACAATGTACTTTTGTATGAGGAAATCACATAACGAGAAACTATAATACTCCCTTCGTTTAATCTAAATGGCACACATTCTTTATTAATCTGTTTTAAAAAAAAATAATATATTTTTATATTTAGAAATAATTTAATTTTAAACTTTTTTATTTATCAATTTTATCCTTAATGGAAACGTTTATAACCACCAAATATCATGGCTCCACAAAGTTTTTACCCGTTAAACTTTTAGGACAACATATTTGAAAAGCTTCTTTTTTTCTTAAACTTTGTATCAAATCAAACTATATCATCTAAATTTAAACATAGGGGTAGTAGAGATTAGGTGAATTGTACAATGAGTTTTTACATAAATAGCCGGACAAATTCATTGTTTACTTTTCTTAGCCGGTATACACAAATTATGTACTGATTATACACAATTATACATATTTTATACATGAATAATATTTATATTACACATTCACCGGTTATTTTTAATTTAAGCGATCGGATGGACGGCTATTTAGATTAATTCTTTTTGTACAATGGATGGGTTGAATAAAAATTTGATAATTCAACAAGTATATTAACATTAAAGTAAAAAAAAAATGGCTAAATACGCCAGCGCTCTAAACTTGACAATTTTATTTTATTTTAACACTTCAATCAAAGTTATTACCAACTGAACACCTTGCGTTTCTGTTTTAATCTTGCATAATTTCATCGGATATATAGGGCCAAAAAACAGTTGTTTGGCTTTCGAAAACAAACATCAAATGTTTCTTCTTCTGTTTTCTTCCAGATACCATTTGTTTTATTCATCTTCGGAAAAGAAGAAAAAAACAGCTAAATAAAAGCTGTTCTCTAAAAAATAATTCTTCCAACA